ACTACTAGTAACAAGAAGCTATTAGGTGGATTCTTTGGGGATTCGGAGTAACAAGAACCTGTTGCGGGCCAGCTCGCCATCGGGTTTCAGCAGTGCACGGCATCCACATTGTCACGTCTTGCACTTGTTCCTAGCAGCTTCTTGTTACTACTAGTAAGGCACCTGTTACTATTAGCGTGGCACTTGTTCCTAATAGCTTCTTTGCAAGGAACATGGTTGTCCTTTGCCCACCCCCACACCCCAAGTCCTTAGCCCACAATTCCCGTCCGTTCCTCAAACATGGGGAGCGAAATACGCAGAGCGAAGCGTTCAACACGGAGGCCCAACTTCACAAGCTTCGATTATATCTGACATGTAGAGCAAGACAGAGGATGAGGGGGCGCCACTTCACTAGCCATCAATGTCGCCTGTCAATCGGAAACCCTCGTACCTATCCTCTCCCCTATAATCTATCCTGCAAACATAAAGCAATCCTTTGCAACAGCAAGAAACACCACTTGCAAACAGCAGCCTTTCAACCCCCCAGCTGCGAGTGAAGAGAACCTTTTCCGCCAAGCTGCGCGGCAGCTCACAGGGAGCCCACCCGCAGGCCCGAACCTGAACAGTCTGATGAAAATGCCACTAGCGATGGCCTCCAACCTAGTAGCGTCCTTGCTCCTAGTAGCGATGCCAGGAGCCCTAGTAGCTTCTTGCTCCTAGTAGTAAGGCCAGGAGCTCCTAGTAGCGTCCTTGTTTCTAATAGCGATGGCCTCCAACCTAAGAGAAAAGCTACCAGTATTGTTTGCCGCAGCACCACGCTTTGTGTGTGCAGTGCCACTGGTCAGTTGCTGCTGTGAATGCCTCCTGCTGTTGCTGCACTGTGCTCCATGTTCGACGCTGGGATTAGCAAAGCTATGCAAGCAAACCGGCACGAAGTCGACTTTGGAGTCAGCTTCAACACCTCCACAGGACTTTGCTTCTTTTAAGAACAAGACACATTTTTCTTCTAGTAGGTTGGAGGCCTATTCACGAAAGCTAGCACCAGCTAGCCGGAGTTGTCCTTGCTTTAGCAAGTGAGGGGCTGGAATCCTTGGGATCGCCGCATCACGTGAAAACTTCATATGTAGGGGGCCCTCCTCCGCCCCCCCCCCCCTGGGTTCAACTCCCCCCTCGGACGCCTCTGGGACACCTCTCGGGCATCTCTTATGGCATCCACTTTGGCTTAACTCCTCCGGGATACGGTGCAACAGATTCAACAAGCTCACAGGTTCGTGAACACATCGGATGCATCGAACAGTGTGGCAAAGTCCAGCCACGCTTCCTTAATTATTGGGGATTTCAATTCTAAGGTTGGCTGTGTCATTGCTGTTTGTGTGTCTTACATGTTCACAACGTTTTACCTCGTGAGCATTTGCCTCACTCCGCTTGATGTCCCACCAGTCCGGATGCACCCCTGCTAGCTTTCGTCACCTACCCTCGGCCTCAAGTAGAGCTAAAAAGTATTTGTTTGATATATGTTTAATAAAAGAAACCAATAGAAGAACGCTTTTTTGTGCGAGTCGAGATATTTTCACTCACGCCAAGTCCTCGTCGCCGGAGTCGTTTTGAGTCGCTTCCGAAAACGCAATCCCTGCGTTTGGCTACTCAATCCTGTGCACGTAGCTTCCCTACTTAGCTTGTTTCTTGCTCCCGAGCCACCTCTTACTACTTAGAGCCCGCTCCAGAATTTCATAAAAAGGATAACGATCATAGAATCATAGAGTTTCTCGTATCTGATCTTTGAGCATCACCTCTCAGCCCTCAGCTGAGCCACCTGCCCCATGCACGGGTTTTGCATGTTGCGTGTCTTGCGCATGCCGATTGCAGAATACCTTGCATACGCCTACGAGCGATGGCCTCCAACCTACATATCTTTGCATGTACTTCATGTGCCTTGCATGCTGTTACTTCTCCAATTCTATTCTAGATGCATGATGTGGATGACAAGAAGGAAAGTAGGACATGCAGCCGCCAGCAATGCAGAGTAAGGCAAGTGTAGCTTCGTAGATAATGGCCATGTATATAGATGCAAGATGACATCGAAGAAGTGCACAAGTTGTTCTTTTCAGGCTGTGAGAGCCTTTCGAAGAAACCACTAGCATCTTCACAAAGTAGCACTGTAGAGCAGCCTTGGAACACTGTGTGCAGTTTTGCTTCCACAAGACACGTTACTATCAGGTTCATCACTTTTGCGCTTGGCAGTCCTTTTAGGAGTTGTATATTCTGAGAGTTTGAGTAGAGGAGATTGAGGAAGCACAAGGGCAGATTCAAGCTAGAATGCGACAAGCTGCGAGATTGCAGGCACCAGAGTTCCGGTTGGAAAAGGGGGATGTGGTAAATCGGACAACTCCGAAATCGGACAATCAACAGAGAGAGAGGGAGTGGCAGCCTAATGGCGATGGCCTCCAACCCAAGAGAGAGAGAGGGAGAACATGTATATTTGTTTTGCCTTTCTCTGAAGCGGTTACCTTGCTTTTGTGGTTAGAGTTTCTGTGGATGTCCCCTTTGTTCTTTTCTGTGCGATGCCAGCTGGCTCAGGCATGGACATCTCATGGACCAGAACCTGTTGGAACAAGGCAGCGTTGAAGAATGTTGAAGATGACTCGTGGTGTTTTAGCATGGCTAAGAAGCGCAACAAACACATTCCATGATGTTCCATGCACAGCATCAAAGTATTCGTGCCGCCGAAAGAAGAGTTTTTCACAATACAACACAGTTGCTGGTCAAAGCCGCTAGAACACAAAGACGTCATTTGTGTGAAGGTATCCCAAATCTCCTCGGAAAAGCTACACTCAGCGCTTTGGCAGAGCAGTTGCTCTGGCCAAAAGACTCATTGGCAATTGTTATAATCGTACGTCATTTCCACTTGGCGTTGCATCACTGCAATTTGCATAAAGGCATCATGAACTTTCGCAAACACGATTACATGTTGACGTTTGAACCTATTTTGCTTTCATGGAGAACGCAGAGAAGTGACGGTTCAAAGGGGTTCTATTCATGCTTGCTAAATTGTAGATATATTATTTGATAAATTGTGGAACTGTTGAATTCAACTCATTCTGGGGCCTTTCACAGCACCAGGTCATTGTATGAATGCAATATGTGTTGATTGGTGGTGCTTGAGCCAAGGCAAAGCCGAAATCAGCACACTTCTTCCTGTGAAGTGAACCGGAGGTGGACAGAGTCCGGTAAGAGGAAGCGGTAGCCAGTTAACTGAGAAGCTGACTACTTACGACGCACAAGAATCCTCGCTCCTTTAAACGGTTCTACACTGAATAAGAGCAAAGCTCTGTTTGAGAAAAAAGGAAAGACTAGTAGGTTGGAGGCCATCGCTATTAGTTTGGAGGCCATCGCTCT